CTCTTTTGCATTTTAAGGCATACCCCTGGTCTTCGAGAGAGAAGCAGATACTAAGGAGCAGTGCACCACAGAGAGATTCAGGTGTGTTGGGAAAACTAAATATGTAATCAGATAGCAGCATGTTACCTAAGAAAATAGATTTGATGCTATTGCTTTCTGCTCAAGACAACTTAATCCTTTCTGGTATAAAACAAACAAGCAAAAACCCCAGAGGAAATGACGCTGGCTGGAGAGCAGCTCGGTGTTTAAAAGTGTGGACTGCTCTCACAGAGGACCTGCGTTGGTTCTCAGCACCCACATCAGGTGGTTTGCACCCATCTTCAGGGGATCAGATGCCTCTGGGCTCTGGCTGTACCTGCATCCAAGTGCATATACCCACATGTAGACAGACACAAATACAGAATTAACAGTAAAATAAATCTTAAAATGAAGCCAAAAGAAACAAGCTTTCATATGCAAAACAAGTGTACGTCGAGTATTTATCCTCAAGAAAGGAAGACCTGTGCTCAGACGAAACCCTAAGCAGGAAATTCATAGTAGCTCCAGAAAACACCATGAAATTCATAATAGCCCCAAGTTGGAAATAACCTAGGTGCCCTTCAGTAGGTGGACAAACTGAAGGGCATTCATTCACAAGATTTAACCCAGCAATAATCAGCAGCTACTGATTAGTATTCTGGATGGATCTCCTCTTTACAATGGACTTTTTAATTTTTTAAAATGTTTTATTCAGGTGACTGAGAGGTGCTTTGAGCCAGGCAAGAGGCCCTGTTCCTGTGCTGTGAGGATCCAGAAAGAATCTTTGTCCGGTGACGGATGGAGATAGAGACAGAGACCCACATGGGAGCACTGAACTGAGCTCCCAAGGCCCAGTTGAAGAGCAGAAGGAGGGAGAAGATGAGCAAGGAAGTCAGGACCGTGAGGGGTTGGTCCACCCACTGAGACAGTGTGCCTGATCTATTGGGAGCTCACCAAAGCCAGCTGGATGGGACTGAATGGGCATGGGCTCAAACTGGACCCTCTGAATGTGGTTGACAATTGGGGCAGACTGAGAAGCCAATGATAATGGCACATGGATCCTATGAAGCAGTAGTGAAGGATTCCTTGGCAATGGATGTTCACTGGGCAGCACTATTCTAACATCAATGATAACTGATCACCATATTATATTGTAGTAGAGTTTGACAGAAAGCTAACATCTGGGAACGCTAGGTAAAAAGGTGTACAGAATGGCCATATAATTTTTCCAACAGCAATCCTGTTGACATAAAAGGCTGCTTTCAAATAAAAGTTCAGAGTTGACCCCAATGGTGATGGTGGTGGCAGAATGACCAGGCTGTCTGTAGACATGCATGAGTGAGAAACGAAAGCCAAAGAACTGCTTTACCTTCCTCATTCTCCATCATGGTCATATCTCCTGGCCGATCGGATGCTCTCAGGCCTCTCTCTGGAGGACAGCGTCTCTCTCCTTTACTCCTTGCTTGATGACAAGGGAATTCTCCATCCATTGTCCATTGCTGATCTGGGGTTTGTCTGCTCTAATCTCTGGACATTGTGAGGCAAAGCAGACACTCACGGAAGACTTGCAGGAGCCGAATTGTACCACTCATTGAGACTAAATTTGGAGAAACTACACAAACATTTTTTTATTTTACAAAATTCTTCAAGGTAGGAGGGAGGTGGGATGGGCAGTATGGGGTTGAACTAAATATGAGCTTGCCTGCGAAACCCATGGGATTAATAAAGAGTAGGAACAAAAAGTGAAGGAACATTGGCTTCTAGTGTGAAGACATTGTTCTCTCACGTCCTTCAGACCATATCCTCATCAGCCCTACGCCCACATTGCTCACCCTCAGAGGTGAGTCTGGTACAAAGCAAGGTCATGAACCCTTGTGCTTATGGAGTGAGCCTTTGCAAATAGAGCTAACATCGTCAGTTGCTCTCTCCTTCTCCTGGGGCCTCTTGCCTCATTCTTGCTATGGGCTGTCCTCCGAAGATAAAGATGGGCCTGGGAAATCTGCTGCGTCCTGGGGCCCAGCTGAGACGAACCTGTCTGGAATCTGACATCAGTGATGGGGTCTCCCTCTGCTGGCCTTGTAGACAGTTCCTATAGCAATGGGCTCCAGGGTTTGAATACTGGATCAGAGTGAAGTCCAGCTTGGGGGTCAGGGAGAGGACTATAGCTACAACATCTCTTCTTTTCTTTCCATCCCACCCTTCCTTTCTCTTCCCCGTCTTCCTTACCAACTGCAAGTTTCCTCTATGTGCTTTTGTGGTGGTTGTTGTCCATCTACTGCTTCTCTTGTCTTCTTCTGTCTCTCACTTTTACTTTAGGCAGATGATACCGGTTCCATAACTCAGCTCATGGGTCCCACCTCACACTGTGTCTTTAACCTTTCCCCAGTTCCCTCTCCACTGCTTCTTGAACATGCCAGTGGGTACTGGTCTCAGGGCCTTTGTACACGCTATTTCTGTTGCTCCCATTACCTCATACAGCCACACGCCTTGTTTTCCTTGCTAGAGCCTACTTTTAAAAACCTTTTCAAAGACACTGTCCCCACTCCTCTCCCAGTGCACTCACCCAATTCTCTGTGCTCTCTGGTCCACACATGGTGCGCATGGATCTCTTCAGCTTGGTCTACTCTTGTCTCTTACTCAGTGTCTGCCTTGCACAAACCAGATCACAAGTTTGATGGAGGGCAGGACTCGGTGTCTGTTTTTGTGCACTTCTGAGCATATCTAGGACAGAGCCTGGCAGGATAAATGTGGTAAGAGAGCAAATATGATTCTTTTTAGTGATAGGTAAAACACACACACATATACTATTTTACTACTATAAATTAAGTCTATTAAATATTTTATTGGTTCAACTGCCATTATTACCTAGACTTGAGATAAACATATTAAGTGTTTTATAGATGCCCTTATTTCTGCAGTGCCTGTGACTTTGCAAAGGCTCCTGGGTGGGAGATTTTGAGGATCCAGGTCAGGCATAGCTTCTTGTAAACAAGACAAGACAGCATTTCCCCTTTTTGTCTTGATGTGGTGTCTTGGGAAGTGAAGTAGTTTGCGCACTCCCAGTGGACCTCGTGGGATTATTGAGCTAGTTTAAGAGCACCATGACACAGACGTGCCAAGATTCAAAGGCAAGTCACACACATATGCAAATCACTGCCAAGTCAGAACACCTCTGGTTCTGCCCCACACCAAGAGGGGAATTGAAGAGCGGGCTCCTCTTGGTAACAGAGACTCCTTATGGGGCAAGGAAAGCCAGGGATTGTCTTCATGGGGACTGGGAACTGCTCAGAGAAAAAGGACCTTATGAAATCTGAATGCTATTTGGGAGCTTATCAGTAAGGAAAGGCAAGCAGAGGCTGTGGTGTCATGGAATATTCCTTCCTTTCTTCCATTCCCCCAAGCTCTGAGCTGTTGTATCTCTTGCTGGGTATTATTGACAGAGGAAATGCTGATTCATGGGCCTGAGTTACAGGAAACTTTGTTTCCTGGTGAAGAAACAAGCTTGGCGGAGCTGCCAGCCCCCTCCCTGCCAGTTGCTGCCACTTGCCCCCGCTCTGGGCCCTCACCCAGGCGGTCTAAGGAGGGGCAGGGCTCAGTCAAGCTTAGCCAGTGAGGTCACTTTCCCTGGCCCAGCTCCTCACCATGCTTCGCTCTTGGCCTCTCTGCTCTGACCTCACAGAACCTTTCGAGCCCATCTCCCTTGCTCCCTGCTTGCTCCATCAGCTGCCGTCACGAATGAGCATGCCAGGCTCCCTGAGCCTCTTGGATGTCCCAGTCTGTGCCATGGCTCCTCATGTTCCCTGCCTGAACTGGCCCCTCTGTTGGCCCACTGAGATCCGACTCCTACGTCAGCTCAGCACAGCTGCTCTGCTCCATGAGGCCTGCCCCACTTCCTCCTGTTTATTGGTATTCTTTTTAGTGGGGGTGTTTCCAAATCTTCCTCCATTTGCGTAACTTACGAGGTCGAGCAAGTTATGCAAATGGATTCCTCCTAAGAAGCCCCAGCTTCTCCATCTTTGAGCTCCCCGCTACCTCTTGTAGGGCTGTGCATGTTACATTTGTTGAACACAGAAGAAGGTCAATCGGTGGCTTTGAACGTCCCTCTCTACTCATCAGATGCAATGAAGACTCCGAGGCCAAACAGGCACTAGCTGAGCTTGCCAACATCACAAGATAGACAGCGGCAGGCTGGGATCAATGTTTTTCTGAAAGGCCTCATGGTCTAATTGAAAACGGTCTGCTAGTTAGTATAATCTGAAGTTCAGGTTACATTATTATTAAGTGTGCAGGGAATGAATAAATGTGAATGAATGTAGGGAATGAATTAAGTGTGTAGGGGATGAATAAATGAATCCTCCAGCCAGCTGATAGACATCGGCTCAGCACCGGGCAGTCAGCACCAGGCAGCTCTTTCTGTGGTCTGGTCTGCTCTGTTTTCTGACCCCCACGTGCGGCAGGAGATAACTGATTCAGATGGAGAGAAATCCATCTGATTATAAAAACCCATGCAAGGCAGTCGAAGCTTAAACCTGTAAGTACAATACAGTCGTGTTCCTCCTGCGGTTGGACATTGCTGTTTTCTTGGACTGGAAAGCAGATATTCAGCAAGGAAGAATCGAACAGCTCTGAAGTAAGTCTCTTCTCACTAGATGGGAAGAGAAATGAGGAGAGTTGGGTGTGTGTTCTCGGACCCTGGAAGGCTGGGGACGAAGGCCATCTGCCAACACCGGAAGCTCTTGCCAGGGTGGAGTGGGGGTAGGTGAAGTGAGGGTGTAGGTTTCTCATAAACACAATTCGAGAAAAGCGTAGATGCTGTGACCAGTCCCCTGACCCCAGTCACTCTGCCAGCTCCACCTCTTCCAAAGGATGAGAGTCATATCAGTGCCTGCCTAGGTCACATGGGGGGGGGGGTGCCATCACTAAAATAAGGAACCAAAATGAAGCTTGCAAGCTGTGAGGGGCCCGCAGGAATCTGACTCCCCACGCTGGGCATTGCTTCAGCACAATAGTGTACCTGATGGCAGGAGATGTTGTCTCGAAGACAGGAGGAGAGGCTGGGAGAAAAGGGGACGAGTTCTGAAGAACAGCTTGCTTGTCACAGTGCAGTGTGAACGAGAGACCTAGGTAAGGAGACAGCTGGGGGAGTCCTGGAACTTCTGTCCTCTTCCCAGGTCCTGGTTTTCTGTCTTCTGAGGAGATGGTCATAAAACTCTCTCCCAAAGAAAGCTGCCCACGTGCTGGGATTGGGGATGGCATGTCCAGGCAGGGTTTGTGGGAGGAGTTGGGTGGGGAGAAAGTGTTCAGCATTCCACAGCAGTTACAGTTACAAAGAGATGGGAATAGGTGGGATTTGAGAAACCAGTGGGGGAGACACAGGCTTTAAGGTTTAACTGGCAGGAATTTCCATAGATTGGGCTGTGGGGAAATCTTTCAAGTACAGACAGGAAAAAAAAATGGCTTCTCAGAGGAGACTCACGAACCCCGTGACAGATGGGCAGGGTTCCATGTCAGCAGAGAACTGTCAGCCCTCAAAACTCAGTAGAATGTTTCCTCAGGAGGAGACCTACCCCGCTTCCTGCTGCTGACAGACCACATCTCTCATCTTAAAGGAATAAGAGATAGATTATTCTGGAACCATTTTGAGTAATCATGGCGTGGAACACAGATTTCGGTTACCCAAATTCCATGTTCCAATGTGGAAGCTGTTTCAGAGGGTTCTCATAGATTTATAGAACAAAGACAGTCACGCATTGAGGCAAGTTTAAAACACATGGGTGGGTGCACCAGAGGGAGGGACAGCAAGATGGGGAAGCTGTTTTATAACCCCAAGATGATACCTGATGACATTCTTAGCTCTCAGAGTGGGTGTTAGGTCAGATACGAAGTGGGCCAAGGAGCAGCTGTTCCAGAAGGTTAAAACTAGCCCAACAGAGAGTCATTACCCTCTGAACTTAACAAAATTCCAGCCTCTTCACAGTACTGAAATTCCTACCGGGCCATCAGTCTCTGCAGACACAGAAACGCCTTCCAGGAGTTGTAGGTTCCCAGGCAGACGCAGCTTCTTTTCAGGATATATTCCCACCGCCCCACCACTCACTGGTAGCACACCTATTGATTTCTTTAATAAAGTCTTTCTCCGGGAGGACTGGATAGTAAGTGTGGCCTGGCACTGAGGGGCTCTTGCACACTCCCACCAGTGAGCCTTCCCTGAATGACACTGAGGAGAAGAGGCCCCTGCTCGCCCTCCAGCCTCCTTTCTCCAGGAGCTGCAAATTAAGACGAGGTTTGCGCTCCCACGGTGCTTGTACCTTAGCACATGTGTTGTTTGGAGCTCTCCCAACCGAGAAGGAAAGGCAGGGTTTCCTTTTCATCTGCAAAGGATTTGCCTACTTCCATACAGCTTTTTCTGCAGGAACTTTTTCCAAGGGTGAGCCGAGGCATTCCTGGAATGGATGGAACACCCGGTCACTGAGAGCTTGAGAGATTCCCATCAGCGCTTAAGGGACCACCTGACCCGGGAGAATGCATCCCCAGGAGGAAGAGTCAGTGGGAGGAAGCATTTGGGCTGTGCTGCCTTGATCTCATTAGTCGTGGGGTTAATCCTGACATTAATGTACATTCATTTGCTGTTTGGTCTTCTGTTGTGATTTTTCCGTTTCTTTTTTCAGTGCTGGGGATTGAACTCAGGACTCCACAGATGCTAGGCATATGCTCTAGCACTTAGCGGCAACCCAATTCCTAGTTCCATTCTTTAAACCGAGGGTTGCTCTACAGATCTTGATGAGGATTTAGCATTATTTCCACTGAATTGCAGGTCTAGTCTGTGTACGTAAGTTCTGAGGCCTCCTCTTGATTGGATTATAGTTGCAAGTTCAGGCCCCATGATCAAGTCCAAAGAAGACAGAAAACTATCAAATATCTATCTGCACCTGTGAGCCTGTATATGTAAACAAACCACTCTTGAAGGGCAAGTGGCTAATTCACAGTGGGGGTCGGGATTCCTTGCTTTTGTCTTTATTTTCATTTTGTATTGCATATCACCCCCACTATGGCTGCTCTCGAGCTCCCAATATGATAGCTACTGGCCCCTGGGAAGAGGTGTCAAGAGCCAGTTCTCAATAACTGGTAACAAATTGACCCTAGCACAAGACCTGTCAAGAGTCAGAACAGACAGACACACAAAGACTCAGAGGGAGGAAGCAGAGGAGTGAGGACTCAGATGGGGAGTTTGGTAGGCATGTGTGTGTTTGGGTGCGAGAAGTATCGGCAGTAAGTGATGATTGGCCAGCCATAGCTGGCATCAAGTATTCAGTTTGTCTAATTAATGTCCATCCTTAGGAAAGTAGCAACTGTTCACCACACAATGCTTGTGATACTCTGTGGTACAGAGTCTATATCCATGTCAATTTTTAGAGACCCTCTATAAGGTCACTTTCCTTGTTTGACAAGCCAGGAGATTGAAACCTCATCAGGTAAAGATGAAGCAACAGATAATTCAAGCCTGGGGTTTGCCACCATTCTATCCCTGGGTTGGGGAACAAGGTGCTGGACCACGCTGGCTTCTTAAATAGTTCAGACAAGGAGAATTGATGGTTTTATAGGAATGAAGACAGAATGAGATAAACCAGTGATTCAGAGTACGTGGCAGAAAGGGAGGAACTTGAGTCCAATTTCTTAAAGTCTTCCTAAACCCAAAACAAAGTCAAGGCCATCAACTGTGAAGTAGGGCTGAGCACAAAATTAGGATCGCTCTAGATGTCAGCCAATCAATGTATTGATAACAAAGTTCTTGCTGAAGCAGTTGAATTTCTGAGATAGGGACTGAGGTAGAATGATTCCAGATATGCACTTGGCATCTACAGTACTTCAAGACAAAATATGGTCCAGGAAGCGGCCTTGAAATTGCTCAGGTGTACCTTGTTCACGTATATTCTATGGCCAGGCATCGTTCCCTGGTATTGTTGAGGCCAATCACAGCTGTTGGCAGTGTAAGGCATGAGGACTGAAGGAGGGGGAAGTAGAGTAGTAGTTTGACAGATGAAGATCCAGGTGAGCTAGGGATTGGGAAAACGGTACTCCAAAGTATAAAGTACATGGCCAGGACCCTGGGTCTAGGATGAGAGCCGGAAAGATAGAGAAAAGGCCGTAAAGTCCTGGGAAGATCAGCTTCCAGGAGGAAGTTGAGAAGAAGGCTCGGGTCTGAAGGCCCTCTAAGGAGGTTTCCTCTTTTATAGATAAGAAATGTATAATCTCTGCTTTTCCATGTTTTGCATGTTGAGTTTCAGAGGAACAAGAGGAACTTAGGCTCTCAAGAAAAGAAAACCCAGTGGAGCCCTTGGTGGTGGGATGTTATGAAAGACAAATAGCAGATACTCCCCACCCTCCAACCCCTCCACCCCCCAGGCCACAAGGGGAAAACCCCACTGTCGTTCTCCATAAACCTCTGATCATGTGACGCTTGTGGCCAAAATCTGTGCCAGTTACACCAGGTGGGGATTTCTTTCCCGACAGCCCCCTCCGGGTATGAATGGTGGCAATGTCCTTGTTTTAAATAGGCACCAGGGGACAGGCGTGACTCCCTGATACACTGCAAAGTCTGAGCCTGTATCATTAAAGCTCATGGAATGGTGTTTAAAATCTGAGACTGAAGGTGGGAGAGATGGCTCCGGGGTTATCAGCACATTTTACTCTTCCGGAGGACCCACTTTTAACGCCCAGCACCCGCATGGTGACTCACCACTGCAACTCCACTTCCAGTGGATCTGTGGCCCTCTTCTGGTCTCCTTGGGCATCAGAAATGCACACAGTACAGAGACACACATGCAAAGCACCCATGCATTTAAAGCTAAAAGAAAACTAAACTAAACTAAAATAAAATAAAATTTGAGGTAAATATTGGTGATTCTTTGTCACTTGGCTTTGACCCTCTCTGGCTACTGAGAATGACCCAGAAGTAAACATGACCTTCTGGCTGCTGAGAGTGAAGTAAACAGATGTCGCTGCTCCCAAGGACAGAACAATTGACCAGCTGCAGCTGACATGTGGAGTGTTGCTTGCTCTAGCACATGGGACACCAGCAATGGGAAAGGTGCGCCCAGACGCAGAGCTGATGAACTTGCAAGGTTGGCAACACAGTGGAAGTGACTTGAATGCTCTGTTTAGGGGGTGGCCACTCAGATGGGCAGAGACCTTGAGAGGGATCCCCCCAGCGGGCCAGCCTCCCGAGGAGGCAGCATGCTTCTGTGGAATGAGGCAGCACGCTTCTATGGAATGCGTTTCTAAGATGGCTCTCCCCAGTGAGTGAATTTACCACTCACAGCTCAACATCGCGGCTCACAGTTGAAATCTGGGGAGAGCAAATGGTGCTGGGGAAGAAGAGCCAGTGCTTGCTCTGGCTTCTTCCACTGGCTGAGCAGGTGGCTTCAGGAGTATCCCTTACTCTCCCTAGGGCCTGTGTTTGGCGGGCAGGCCTAGTCTTTCCAATATTTCCTCTGGCTAATGACGAGAATCTGAGCAGCTCAGAGATCCTTGTAAGCCTTGAAAGAGTGCAAAAGCATTGTTGGAGGTGAGAGGTAAATTGTTTAACTTCATAGGTAGCAATGTGCTGTCTAGTCAGAAATTCCCCCCAAGAATCAGTGTTAAGGGGTAACAAGAAGGGGCCCCAGAAAGCATAGAAAGCAGCCCAAACCTGACACGGAGCCTTGAATGCAAGCCCCGCCCCCCACCTCAAGCATTGGCTTCACCTGCCACTGCTAGCGATTAGCACCAGGCCTACCACCACTGTGGGTTTCCTGCCCTGCTGCTCCAGGGCCTGACCCCTCCCAGCCTCATTCTTAGGGCCGCCTCCTCATTCCCTGTGAGGAGCAGCTGTGCATAATCCCCTCTGTCCTTCCTGCCCCTGCCCGGGACTCCCACCTGCCCCTTCTGATTCTCGGAGCCAGCAGCTGGTCAGTGAACAGGGGCCAAATGTGCAGAACAGATGTGAAAAGCATTGGCCGGCACGTGCGGGGAGGCTGGTTGTCCAGCCCAGGCCTTCTGATGGCTTCCTGTCAACTGGCCGAAGGCTGGGAAGTCACGTTCAGGGGCCCTGTGGGAGAAAGTTCCCATGCTACCCTGGTTTGGTCCCTTTCCCTGGCTGGCATTTCTCCCCACTCCTTTTTTTTTTTTTTTTAACCTCCTCCGACTTCTCAACCTATGTTTGTTTCTCTCTAACTCTCCCTCCTTGATCAAGCTCCCGAGCATGTCAAGGATGATATTTTTAAAAGGCTAAAATATAGGCTTCGAAAGAGGTTTGCAGACTCGGTTCTTCCAGATTTATAAAAGACATAACAATAGGTCAGAAACCAGCCAGCACAATAACAGCCGGGCTTCACCGCAGCCTGCCCCGACCTAGGTTCTTAACGCTATCACTTCCTTCCTTTCTTAGTCAGTGGCATGCAGAAGTCAGGGTGATTCTCAGAAGCAGGTATCCTTGCCAGCAGGCAGCTTTGCTTTTCTAGACAATTGGCTAATTCTCCTCACTGCCACCCACCTCTCTAAGTGGGGGCGACCTAAGAACATCAGCAGTTAACCCGAGAGAGTCTTGAGACAGACCAGAGCCCTGGGGAGACCAAAACCTTGTGGAAAACAAAATTAGCAGGCCAGGCATAATGACCTGAAGGTTGTTCAGATTTTAGGTTCTATGGGCGTTTACCTTATCGACATGAGCAGAACCAGTTGCAGCTTCCACAAAAATGAAAAGCAGTGGCAGTAACAGAAGTTTAGGGATTTTTTTTACAGGTGCTTTAAAAAAATACAAGGTCTTACCTGGGCAGTGGTGGCACATGCCTTTAATTCCAGCACTTAGGAGGCAGAGGCAGGAGGATGCCTGAGTTTGAGACCAGCTTGGTCTACACAGTTACTTCCAGGGCAGCCAGGACTACAAAGAGAAACCAAACCAAACAAAAACGAAACAAATGAACAAAAGATTATGCCTCCCTACATTACCATATGAATCCATAGGCACACATAACATGCCTTTTACAGGTGTTCACTGAACAGAAAACACAACAAGTAAGACCTAATCTGGATTTTGTCTACTGCTTGAGAGGTCAAGGACATATTTATGAAATGTTAAATTGTAGGGATGGGTTTCTTATTTTTGCCCTGACTTCTAGGAGACTCCGGGGTGAATCTCATGCTCAGCCCAGTAATGATTCTAATGTTTGCCACTGGCATCTCCTTTGACTTTTATCAAAATTTCTATGTCCATTTTTTAATACCCCTTGCATATAACTCATTCTGTGATGTCAACTGACCAGTGTTCTTTATAGAAAAATTAGAGGGCATAATAAAGAAAGGAAATCCCATAAAAAAAAAAAAACCTCGACTAATGGTGGAAAGGATTTCTAACACCCCTCTCTGCCTTCAGTGGGTTGGCTGTGTCTTTACTGTATGATTCTCATGATACCACACACTCCCTGATCATCTGCCTCCCTGGAGCTGTGTGTTTAGTGAGATTCTGTTTAAAAAAAATACAGCTTTAGGGTTAATTTTAGAGGCAGCAGAATGAGGTTTTCCATACCCTTCCTCCCCCCCCTTCTCTTTTTAAAGGAGACTACTGATTAAGCCTGCAGTTGGGGCTGCCCCCCCCCCCCGTTAGTCGGCCGCCTGCTTCTTTGTTGATGGGTGAGAGGTTCTGGGCTCCTCTTTCCTTCAAGAAGCCTGTCATAAATTTTTTTCTCTTCCTCTACATTGTTCTCTCCCTCTTCCTGAATAATGCCCAGTAATGCTCTCCTACATAAATAATAACCACTTACATTTACATAAGCACTGCTAACATTGACGCATTCTTTCCAAAAAGGATTTAAGATGGACGTCGTGGAGGATTTTTAAGTTTTACAATGCACTCTCGGATGTTATTGCTGCCGTTATGAACTAATAATTTATCGTGCATTTACCATGTGCCAGGCACTAGGCAAGGGCTTTTTGTACACTCTCTAATTTAGACCTGCCGGTAATCCTATAGAGAAGCCACTCACATTACTCTCTTTTTGAATGCAAATAGACAAAGAGGCCCTGGGTCTTGCCCATGGTCACACAGCCAGAAAGGGAGCAGGGCCCCAGGCTGGAAAGCCAGGAGACAAAGTTCTGATTTTTGGATCACAGTATCCCTTTGGGCCATTGCTCAACCCTAGGAAAGGGACAGAGCAGGGAGGCCCGCCATGTCTTGCAATTGAGAGGAAAGGGAAGAGGCATTGGAGAGCGCTTAGAGACCCATTTACTCCTTTCAACCATGCTAGGAGGTAGAGACAGGCTTCTATATCACCAGTGTGGGGATAGAACTTACCAGTCCTGAATTAACTCACACAAACACTCAGATGAGAAAGCAAGGTATCACTCAGGGTCTATTTGACTCCAAAGTCCTTATTTTTTTCTGCTGATTTGGAGAAACTGACACAAGCTCACTATCACATGGTGGCTATCCAAAAACACCCCCGAATTTGATCAAAATTGACTTTCTTCAAGGTCTTTGTACAAATTCTGGCATTCGATTGGGGGCTGTTTTTCCATGTGACCTTGATGCTGGGGGACTTGACCAGGCAAAAGGCAACTGAGTTCCCATCTCTTTCAGAAGAGAAAGTGGCAGCTTTGGGGACAAGGCTCGTTTGGAACACCGGCTCCTGCAGCTAACTAAAAGCTGTGCTGGAGCTGCCCTCTTCATTCCTTATGAATCTTCGACCTCATTAAATAGGAAAAAGCAAACGGAATCTTTTGATTTTCTTTCTGCAGATTCTTCAGGGGATGAGAACGGTGAACAAGTAAGAGACGTTCCTAGAACTGCCAGCCTGCATCCTGTCGTGACATTGCTGGAGCAGAGGAAAGCTCGCCCTTCTCCACTGTTTCTGCAGAGACAAACCAATGACACCGACTCTTATTGACTCTAGGGTCCAGGTCTCTCATCTCTTTTCTGCCACTACAGAGACGGAGAAATCATTTACAACACCAAGCACAGTGGACAAAGGTTACTTGGTTTTGGTTTTGAGACAGGGTCTCACTACATCACTCTAGCTGGCCTAGAACTCAATACGTAGACCAGACTGGTCATAGAGATCCAGACAAATCTGCCTCCCAAATGCTGAGATTAAAAGCATGTGCCACCATGCCCTGCCAAGCAGCTGTTTGGAGGATAGCACTCCTCTTTTTGTTGGTTTTTTTCAGACAGGGTTTCTCTGTAGCTTTGGAGCCTGTCCTAGAACTCACTCTGTAGACTAGGTTAGTCTCAAACTCACAGAGATCCGTCTGTCTTTTGCTCCTGAGTGTTGGGGTTCAAGGCGTGTGTCATCACCACCCAGCAGGGTAGCTCTCCTGTGGGCTCTTTCTCAGATACCTGAAGCAAACCCTAGGTCATGGTCACAAGGTTCCAGGCTGAAAGGAACAGAAAACTTGATAGACTTTCCACATGACCTCTAGGCAGATTAAGAACATTATTCTGATATTTACACATGTCTAGATGTCGTGCTTGCTTCAGGTGCCTGAGATGATCAACAGTAGGTCAGGGACAATGTGCCCATACCATGAAGATGAGTAGAATTTGGAGCATATGGTGTGAGGGCAGCTGACATTTTTAGTTTGGGCTCAAGGTCCACTTGCAGGCATCCAGTGGTCCCAAGCACATTGTTAGCAGCTTGGTATGAATCACATCTAATGCTCCCAAGGACCCTTTAGCATAGCTGTCATCTTCATTCCAGAGGGGAGACAGGAGAGGCCCCCAAATGATCCTCTTCTCCATGGCTATTGGCTCGGGCCAAGTTAATGGAGTACAGTAGGAAGAATTTTAGTTTTTCAGGCTATCAGAACTGCAAGAAATAGCAGAGATCTTGTCTACTTTTGAGGCTAACACTGGAAAGCGATCAGAACTAGG